TGCGTCAAATCACCAGCTGCTAAATTCAAATCTGCGTTCGCAGACGCGTTTATACAGCTCTGCACATTATAACCAATCACACACGATTCTGTTGAGCTTATGAATGCAATGACCAATCAGAGGCGTTCAGATGAGTCAGATGAGTTCAGGCTCGCTGACTGAATTCCCTGGCGAATTCTCTCATCAGAAACAACAAAGTGCAGAAGTGTGTACGATGTAAGTAAGATATCCATTTCACAGTGCAAACAGCTTCAGCAATTATAATGGGAGTTTTTGAGACAGAAGTCTTGATAATGAAATGATAATGATAATGTTCTTTGATAATGTAAGGTAAATGTCCTTTGCTGTGTTTCTGTACAATGAAAGTGTTATAATTTGTAAATTAAAACTTTTTTTTTTTTTAATTAAATTCACGTTAAATACAAAGTCAGTCATATAAAAATATTTTAAGGCATGACACCCATATGTGGTACTTTTATGCATAGTTAATGTGTCATTCTACAGAAATGTCCACTTTTGGTATGGCAATGTCTTAAAATGTATTTCTTTTTCTAACATTTAAAATTAGACCACCTTATTAGATTACCTTTTGATTTTATGAATATACACATCTTTATTTACCCATAAGGAAGGTCAGGTGACACCAGTGACAGTATAACACCATTGACCATTTTCATGAAAAATGCATTTTATAAAATGGATTTTGCAAGGTATCAAACCACATGTTGTCAGTCGTGGTATACTCACTAAATTAAGTAGTTTAAGCCATTTGTATTCTATTTTTTTACAATTCCCTAACAGTAAAGCAGGTGCAGGATTTATAACCATAAGGGAAGGTGCAAGGCAGTTTTGGTTGCTAAATGTAGCTTTTTTTTCTTTTCTTTTTCAAAAAGCTCCAGGCAAAAAATTTAGCTATTTTAAAAATATATATTTAGCATTAAAAAGTCACATATTTTCATCTAAATGACACAAAACGGGGAAACCATTGAACAGCCAGCCAGCCAAGCAGCAGAGAAAATGAAGTTGCTACTTGCACTTGTACACTAATAATTGTTTATTTATGATACAGCATGTTATTAGCTTTTCACTTAGGTACACTGTTAGAAAGAATATGTGAAAAATGGAAAAGGTACAGGTAATTTTCTGCCAATACATTATCTGTACTAACCCTAAAACCCCAAATTTAACGTGTAATACGTGTCAAATTTAACGTACAGATTGCTTAATATTAACACTCTAATTTTGTTAGAGAGTAGGAGATGAACTCCCAGTACACTGCTTAAAACTATTTTCAGAATGGGTCAAGAACAAATCACACCCTTTTACTGGGTAACCTAAAAGTTAAATATTTGCTGAAGTAAAGATTTCCTGATAAATTTATTTCAGCCTTATCTTACAACATATCACTAAGGCCAGAACAGCAATTCTGCTTAAGCTAGCTTTATTGACATCTACACAGCGACTGACTCACTCCGCATGCACTGAATAAGCTTTGCTCGCAAATACATGTAATGCACATGTACATGAATATAGTGCAACTGTGAGTTTTTTAAAGTCCTTATAATTTCTACACATTCTCACTCCCAAAAATTTGGGGTTAATACGCAGACACTATGGGCACGGTAATTTAATCACGTCAGCTTTAGCCCTATTCAGACGGTAAATGTTTCTCATGTGGAAATATGTAACAATACATTTGCATGGCACCTCAGTGATAAAACTCAAGCCTTCACTACTCGTGTGCTCGGTTGCATGATTGTTTTCTGTGAATAAAATGGCACATGCTTAAAATAATGAGAATAAATTCATATTTAATGTAGTAATAGTTTCCTATTAAATTATTTTCTATGTCCTGGTTAAAAACAGGAAGATAGATGTGCTATATACAGTAGTTGAAATGGTTTGTCTGACATTTTTCTCAAAATGGGGAATTTAGTGGAAATAAGTTAACGCAGCCTCTTATTAATATGATGTAAGCCTAAAGCTGCTGTTGATGTTTTTGATGCATGCAATCATATACATATACATAATGTTTCTGCCAGAGTAATGGCCCTTTTCTCCTTTTTGTTCAGCTTCTACTCACAGTGGTGTAGCGGTGTTGAAACTGTTTTCTTATAAACACTTTCCAATAATTCTATAATAAATGTATCTTTAAAATGCGTGAAAATTACAGTGAAGCTCAACACTCATTTGATAAAAATCTTTTAAACAGTACATTTTTATTGATCTCTTGTTGTAAACTCAGAGATGTGTATTTGGATGGCAATTATAATTCGGCCAGGGATTTTTATGAGAGTAGTCAGAGAATTCTGAGAAATTCTGGATTCAGATGGCAATAAAATCACCGGCTAGCCCCAGTAAATACCTTACGTGCCCCTGAGAAACAATTACCATCCGAATAGAGCTTTCGATTGGGAAATGGCATTGTTTCTCGTGACCGATTGTGTAATGCTAAAGTGTATATCTTTTGAGTGGGATCATTTTCAGTGTTTAAAACCAGCAGTGGAAGTAAAGAATTACTACTACTCACATTACTGTAATTAAGTAGGTTGTACTTTAAGGAATACTCCTTAAAAAATGTTTTAAAGATTTTAAAGCCTGTAATTTTACTTGTACTTAAAGGTGACCTATTATGCCCCTTTTCACAAGATGTAACACAAGTCTAAGGTTCTCTTGAAATTAGCTAATTAGGTCACACCAAAGCATTTTTAGCCAGCTGAAAACGGCAGGCTCTCTGCTTAAAACACCTGTATGTGAGTGTTTAAGAGGGCTTCGGCAGCGCAGTGTTTTATGCCCAGATTATACAGGATATGGTGATTGGTCAGTGCTGTATTTGTCCCGCCCCTCCTCCACTCTGATTGGACAGCTGGGTAAAAAGTGACAGTAATGAATGTTGTGTTTTACTCAAAGTTAAACATTCTTCAACTCTTGACGACCGTTCGGCACGCTCCTGGCGTTTTACATTTTTCAATAGATTTCAATTACAATGCATATTTTTAAAGGCCGTTTTCTCAAAATTAGTTTTTTCTCCTACACTGAGCCATAAATCTCCACTTCAGTAGCACTTACACACACACCAAACTTTGTTTTATCCCTGTGTATATCTTGAAGGTTTTTACGGAGGGATTTGTTCATATTTAATTTGCTTGATTATATACAGCATTTTAATCCCCTCAAAATTGTGAAAATATAGTGTTTATGTCCGTGCTAAGCATTTTCTGAATTAAAACGAGATACCCAAATGTAAAAACGTTTGATTCTAAAATGTAAAAAAAATTTAACTAGAATTTTGAAACTGACATCATCCAGTGTTTAGATTTGTGTACTAGAAATTTATGCAAATTAGCGCATTTTTCATTAAATAATGATTCATCTGCATATTTAAACCTAACATTTTAGAAAACTTGTAATACAAAAAATGTTTAAGTAAGGTTTAATATGGTTAAGTAAGGCGATAACTATTAGTTTTGTTTTTTTTTACCCTCTTCACCTGCAGTGTCTCACCTTAAGTATTATTAGGGGCCAAGCCCCTATTGTATCTGTACCATAGACTGTATAAAAACATGGACGTAGTGTCCGTGACGTCACCCGTAGATTTCCGAAGAGCGTTTTTGAAGCTCAAAAGTGGGCGGAGCCGGCCGTCGCCATCTTGGCAGCGCGTCACCGCGCGTCACTCCCGGATAATTGAAAATGGGCAAAGAGGCGGGAGCAGGTTGCTGAAGCCACGCCCACCTAGCTCGACGGCGGTGACAGCAGCAGCAATCCACCTGTCACTCAAGCCAGCCTCTAGCGGCCAGTTGACGAATTACAGTTTAAGTCACTTCCTTGTTGGCGTCACGAGAGTGAGCGGGAGGTTGCCGCTTGATAAAAACACAATAATCCACACGACTCAAAAATTCAACATTGAAATGGTAATAACTCTTGAACCCTTAATAACTCTTGAACCCTAATTCTAGAAAAATGAAACGTAGTACACCTGATTACTCTCCTCATGCTGATCACATTGAACATCTTACATTAAGTCTGCGCCCATTACAGTAGCGGCTATTTTGAAAAGTACCGTTTGTTTTTTTTTCGCTACTCCTCCTTCAAATTTTGTCCAATTTTTCCGAATTGTACGAAAATGCCTTAATTAAAGCATTTACACGTTTCCTTACAGTTAGACCATAAAAGATATATTTATAAATTCCAGTCCATTACTGAGTACGCCTACAATTTGATATGGCAGGTTTTCCTCGCGGTATCAAAAATGGTCTTGAATATCAACGTATTTTATGGTATCATATCAAATTTAGAAAGGCCGATATTATTACACAAATTCATATACTTCATAGCTACTTCATCAATAAGGTAAAAGTGTTTTGTTTGGACTTCTGATTTGATTCAATAGTTATTGCTGATTCATTCAATATAAATAAATATGGCAAAAAGTTTCCCCAATATATAATTTCATCAAGATTATAAAATTCCCATGCCTATAGCATCTGCATATTGAAGCCAACAGTTTCTCATTAAAAGCAATGAAAGCAACCCTGCACGTTGGAAAGTGGCATTAAAGGGGTCGTATTATGCCCTTGTTTTTGAAGTATACTAGAATATGTTTGATTGTTCAAAAAATGCATTATTTTTCACATTTTTTACATTAATACAGCTCCCCTTTCCCTCATGCGATTCAAAAGCCCGTTTAGTTCCTGTTTTGATAAAGACCTGCCTTCCAAAATACAAAATCGGCTGTGATCGGTTAGCTGGCCCTGTGTGCTGTGATTGGCAGCACTTATTGCGTGTTTGGGAAATTCATAAACGTGAGTTCTGCTCAGTGTTTAGGGACCATCTCTAAAGTAACAGCTAACACTTAATGGCCACCGGCGTCACTAATAACAGAGGTTTTCTAATTCTTACAGACAGTACCTTTTACTTACTGCTCACTTGCATTAATGCCCATTTAATAATAGTTTCCTTAAAGATTGTTTCTCTTCTTAAGGATCCTGACATAAAGAAAAATGTTGAGTGACATCTTCTACCCTGACAACCCTAAGAGAAGGGAGCAGCTCATCCGCAAAGGGCAAGAGCTTCGAGATCTGATGAAGAACAACTTCAGAGCCACCAACCAACTGAATGATGCTATGAACAAGCACTTGAGTTGCTCCTTCGAACATATCACCCTGAACGAGAGCGCTTCTCTTCGGGAGAACTGTACTCTGATAATGGGATGCATGTGTAATATAATGGTAGTGGTAGAGAGGATTGACAGGGAGCTGAAGGAGAAGCTGGAACCCACCATGTACGAGAAACTGAGAAAACTGTCTCTGTCTTCTGCAGACTTTAAAGCGATTTCAAAAGCTTTTGAAGCAGTTTGTGGTATTGCAACTGTGGAATCTACTGTTTTCGCTGGTTATTTAATTGATAATGTAGTTACTCTGGCAAACATAACAAAAACGTATGCTATAATTGGAGCAGGGAAATTTGCCTGTGTTAGGTTGGCAGTGGTGTTCTTGGGGATCGACATGATTGTGAAGGACATCATTGGGAAAATCGAGCGTGATCAACTTAAGAAAGCCCTAGAAGAGTATGACAAAGTTTTGGATGAATTCAGGCCAGCGTCTGAACAATATCAGGATAAAATTACCTATGTCAGAGTCAAAATTGAGATGGAGAAAGAAGACATGCTAGTTTGAAATGTTTCTTTTTCCTGCCTGAAATGTTTGCTGGAATTATGAATTCATAATTGTTGTTACGTCTTTGTGCTTAAAAAAGCATGCAGAAATATATGAAAATTTAGCTTAAAGTGACAATGTAAAATAATATGTGGAATGTGGAAAAATCAAAATAAATCACAGTTCTGCAATTAAAGGGTCATAAAACCATGCGTGATTGTCCACTTCTTCCATAATACAAATATGACATAAAGAGATATGTGCTGCTATCTCTCACTCTCTCATCATTTGGAGACAGAATATGCACAGTGGTAATTACTGTGATATCAACAAAAATATATAAAATGAAACTAAATGAAAAAATGCATGTCCTTGTCAATCATTACTGAGTCAATGAAAATCACATTGAACTACAGGTTTGTGTTGCTATACACACACTTTCAATCCCCTGAATAGAATCTCTCACAACAACACAAATCTGCAAAACAGGTGTTGTCTTAAGCACACTTGATGCAGCTGATCAAGGGCTTCATTAGTTGCACCAGGTGTGCTTGTATTTTATATAAAATTAAATCAATGCATATATTTAAAAAATATATATATATAAATATATAGGAGAGACAAAGGTCTTCTTAACAATTTTCAGTTTTGTTTAAGATAATTAAAGCAACAGTTTTTAAATAACGACAGAATATGAAGAGTATGGTATTTGGGGTAAAAAAGTGCCCCTGCTGTTGGGGCTAAAGGCACAGTAATTAACATGATAATTAACAGACGGCTGACTTTTCCATTTGTTGAACATGACATGGTTAGATTCAGATGGTAAATATCATATATTATGTTTTTGTTGTTATACTGTACATATACATTCAATTATTATTGGATCTCCATCAATGCTTTCAGAATCTTTACTTATTAAAATGATTTTGTTTCTGTATTTTAAAATATATTTTTTATATTAACATTTTATTTATTGAAAAAAATTCAAAATAAGCAGAAAATAATTGCTAAAGTGATTGTTTTGAACAAGTCTTAACTTAGCCATTATTTAATAAAAACATTATTAATAATTCTTCTTCACATGTGCAATGTTTAGTGGGTGAATGCAATGGATAGTAGGCCTACTTCGGACTATTTAAATTGAGTAGTGTAGCCTAACTTTATATATGTTTGGTTGGCTTATTTTATTTTGATAATGAACAGGCTGAATTTGTTCCTTATGACAGCAGAAACGAGTGAGACATCATTATGAAACTATAAAGGGTCTATTTTTATTTGTGTACAGTCACAATAACAACAAAACACTGTGCTTTACAAAATAAAGAAAAAAAACAGATGTCGCGTTCTGCCATATAGGCTATTGATGTCCTTTTCATGAACTTGTTGCATTAGAAAATTTGACTTCATCAAAAGTCATGGATGAAATTGAATGCTAAATGCTCATGTAATGAGAGATATTTTGAGTGTGACATTTTTAATGCTGATATAATGTGTTAAATATAATACTTTAAAAATAAAGCATACTTAAATTGTCAGTCAAATATTGAAGCATTCTTACACGAGCATGACTGCTCATATTTGGAAAAGCAGCAGGCTTCCAAACGTGATATAGCTTTTGTATAACTGATTGTCACAGTGTTTGGTTGTGTTGCCCAGGACTGGCCACTTGAGGGCGCTATCCTGTTTCTATGTTTTATGTGTTTAACTCCATTTCCCATAATCCCTTGCTTGTCATTTCTGTTCTTATCATGAGCACCTGTTAATCATTCCTGATCATTATCACCGGTTGTTAATTACTCATCATCTCATCTATATATACCATGCTCACTCTGTCTGTCATTGCTACTACATTGTATTTGTCTTCTCAGTCCTGATCTTGATGTTGTCTATAGTTTACCGTGTATCTGTTCCTTGTGTTTGGATTACCTTTTGGCCACGTTTTTGTTCCGTTTTGATATTTTGTTACTTTCAATAAAACTGCAACTGGATCTTACCTTGTCTCTCCGGGCATTTCATAACAATTGATGTCCTTTTCATGAACTTGTTGCATTAGAAAATTTGACTTCATCAAAAGTCATGGATGAAATTGAATGCTAAATGCTCATGTAATGAGAGATATTTTGAGTGTGACATTTTTAATGCTGATATAATGTGTTAAATATAATACTTTAAAAATAAAGCATACTTAAATTGTCAGTCAAATATTGAAGCATTCTTACACGAGCATGACTGCTCATATTTGGAAAAGCAGCAGGCTTCCAAACGTGATATAGCTTTTGTATAACTGATTAATAAACAATATGAGATACTATTACCTGACACTTTGTTTTTCCTCTGTTCCAGTCAAAACCACAACCAGTGGTGATTCGCTCCTGAATGACTCTGTGAACGAATCGGTTGAGCGAATGAGTTAATGACTCGTTCATTAAGAAGGAATCGGTTGAATGAATGATTCAAACTGGCTTATAATGCAGTCACTTGTCGCCACCTATTGGTGTAACTGTGTAGTGGATATATAGGCAGAGCCGGGTAGTAACTGATTAAATGTAATCTGGATTACGTAATCAGATTCTGAAAATTAAGTACTTGTAATTAGATTAAATTACATTTTAAAATACTTGTAATCAGAGTTACTTTTTTATTTATATTTTGTTACTTTCAATAAAACTGCAACTGGATCTTACCTTGTCTCTCCGGGCATTTCATAACAATTGATGTCCTTTTCATGAACTTGTTGCATTAGAAAATTTGACTTCATCAAAAGTCATGGATGAAATTGAATGCTAAATGCTCATGTAATGAGAGATATTTTGAGTGTGACATTTTTAATGCTGACATAATGTGTTAAATATAATACTTTAAAAATAAAGCATACTTAAATTGTCAGTCAAATATTGAAGCATACTTACACGAGCATAACTGCTCATATTTGGAAAAGCAGCAGGCTTCCAAACGTGATATAGCTTTTGTATAACTGATTAATAAACAATATGAGATACTATTACCTGACACTTTGTTTTTCCTCTGTTCCAGTCAAAACCACAACCAGTGGTGATTCGTTCCTGAATGACTCTGTGAACGAATCGGTTGAGCGAATGAGTTAATGACTCGTTCATTAAGAACGAATCGGTTGAATGAATGATTCAAACTGGCTTATAATGCAGTCACTTGTCGCCACCTATTGGTGTAACTTTGTAGTGGATATATAGGCAGAGCAGGGTAGTAACTGATTAAATGTAATCTGGATTACGTAATCAGATTCTGAAAATTAAGTACTTGTAATTAGATTAAATTACATTTTAAAATACTTGTAATCAGAGTTACTTTTTTATTTACATATATTCACACAATAGCAATACATTCTTAATTGTTATCCCTAATTATTCTTCTTATTTTTATGACTTAATTAATTATTAGCTTTTCAATAAACTCGCAAACCCACTAAAGTTCCTTCACAAACCCCAGTTTGGGAAACCTTGACATAATGTAATGCTTAATTCACTTTATGTTGTTAATAACATCAAACGGAATATATTTTCTTTGCATTTTAATATCAGTGTGATACAATATTATCCTATTTAAATCAATGTGATAAACGAGTTAAAGTAATCTTTAACCTAAAATGTTTAATGTAATGGATTATGTTACTAACTACAATTTGTGTCATGTAATTTAAATGTATAAGAACTCAAATATTGCAATTTATCGATTTTTTATTTTTATTTTTATTGAACTTCAAAAAACACAGTCAAAGTACAGTTAGGACTACAATAATACACATGAAAACATAAAACACAAACAAAAATAATAATAATATGTATACAAAATACACATACAGCCAGGGGGTGGGCTAAACATTATGTAAATATATTAAAGTACTTACAAATGGAGACAGTCTCCCTTTTCACATAATGGACTCTCTCTTTTCTAGCATTTTAGATACGGTTGCTCCTTTACGCTTAAGGAAGATTAAGGAAAACAGTAATATGAGATACTATTACCTGACACTTTGTTTTTCCTCTGTTCCAGTCAAAACCACAACCAGTGGTGATTCGCTCCTGAATGACTCTGTGAACGAATCGGTTGAGCGAATGAGTTAATGACTCGTTCATTAAGAAGGAATCGGTTGAATGAATGATTCAAACTGGCTTATAATGCAGTCACTTGTCGCCACCTATTGGTGTAACTGTGTAGTGGATATATAGGCAGAGCCGGGTAGTAACTGATTAAATGTAATCTGGATTACGTAATCAGATTCTGAAAATTAAGTACTTGTAATTAGATTAAATTACATTTTAAAATACTTGTAATCAGAGTTACTTTTTTATTTACATATATTCACACAATAGCAATACATTCTTAATTGTTATCCCTAATTATTCTTCTTATTTTTATGACTTAATTAATTATTAGCTTTTCAATAAACTCGCAAACCCACTAAAGTTCCTTCACAAACCCCAGTTTGGGAAACCTTGACATAATGTAATGCTTAATTCACTTTATGTTGTTAATAACATCAAACGGAATATATTTTCTTTGCATTTTAATATCAGTGTGATACAATATTATCCTATTTAAATCAATGTGATAAACGAGTTAAAGTAATCTTTAACCTAAAATGTTTAATGTAATGGATTATGTTACTAACTACAATTTGTGTCATGTAATTTAAATGTATAAGAACTCAAATATTGCAATTTATCGATTTTTTATTTTTATTTTTATTGAACTTCAAAAAACACAGTCAAAGTCAGAGCCGGGTAGTAACTGATTAAATGTAATCTGGATTACGTAATCAGATTCTGAAAATTAAGTACTTGTAATTAGATTAAATTACATTTTAAAATACTTGTAATCAGAGTTACTTTTTTATTGATTACTTGATTACATATATTCACACAATAGCAATAAATTATTCTTAATTGTTATCCCTAATTATTCTTCTTATTTTTATGACTTAATTAATTATTAGCTTTTCAATAAACTCGCAAACCCACTAAAGTTCCTTCACAAACCCCAGT